GATGTAACTGCACAGTTACTCATGATTCAGAGTCTCATCTGATCCAGCCAACACCATCACTATGAGGACCTTTGCAACAGAAACTCCTCTTGCCATCTGGACACTGACTGTCCTGTTCAAGGATTTCATTCCTCACAGTGATGCAATATTAGCAAAAATCAGACCCCGTCGACTACTCCAGAATCATCAGATTTAGCTCTTCCCTATCCATATGAACGAAGAAGTAATATTTTTTTTCTATTAAATTGTGGCTACCCAAGCCCTCAGCAAGCAGACATGGGTGCCTTTGGGAGTGCTGTGATTACTTTGGGCAGTCAAACCGATAACTGAACACAGAGAGAACATTTCATGTTATACCCAGCTATTGGCTAAAACTGCACCCAGGCTGGGTTCAAACAGAGCATGAACAAGATAGAGGTTTATCTCCAGTTTTCTAATCCTCTGTGTTTTCTTCTCTAACCCATTTTCAAACAAGGCATGTAGCTGCTCCAGATGGTGGGGACAAAGCAGATAGACCCCAGTTCTCAAAGCACAGAGAACATCCAGCTCAGAGGATTCTCATACAATTTGTTCATTCTCATAGCACCTTCTGAGAGGTCTGGAAATCTGAGAGGATAAAGGAGGTACAGGGCATTTAGAGCAGTGAAATTTCCAGTTTGGTGTGGATGAGATAACCTAGAGAAAGACAATATTTGATAGGATTATTCTTCCTCAGTGAGGCAAATTTTAGGTTACGGAGCTGATCACCCACAATATCAGCCTAGAAAAAAAGCAAAGCCCTCTTGCAAAATTAGGATTCACACTTCCACTCACTTTGATTACAGCTGGTAATCCTTGGCTTAGTACTGTGGGATAATAAACTTGAAGCGGTCACCAGTACCATGTGCTATAGCATCAGGAGCTACAGGCGAATAATTCTTCAACTAATATATATTGCAAGTCTCATCACTGATGCAAAGAACACAGGTACTAGATTTTCTAATTGGTTTTACACTTACTGCATGACCCAGTCAGACCATCTGATGTCCCAAACTAACAACTGTAAAATTATATGAATAGAAGACCTTTTCACTAGGAGGTCTAGAAAAACCCTCTCCTTTTTGGCCTGTGCACCTGAAATCTACTGGGGGCAAAAAAAAATAACCACCTCAATTCCCACAGATCTACAAGTCAGTCAAGCAATTGTTCAAACTGCTGCTAGTTTGGCCTGTACTATAAAGAAGCAAGAAATTTTGTTAATTCTTACAAATAGTATTCACTGGAGTAACTGATAAATCTACTAGCCATTCCTACACACAGCATAACTCAAAACAGTAATTCAAGCAGTTGCCTGGCAAGGCTCATTATACAGCTGTGGTGGTTGCACCAAGAAGCAGCAAAGCGTGATGGAAAACTTCCATGTCCCATAGTGACATTCTGGATATACTAGAAGTAGCAGAAACACATCTACATACATAAAACAAACCTTTTCTGCTTGTGTCTCATTCATGGCTGTCATTAGCTCACTGCATCTCAGACAACTTGCTTCATCTCTATGACTTTTTTCCATACACCTTCCAAGATCATTATACTTCCCTGTCTACAGTCATACTCTGATAGCC